AGTGTCCTGCCCTCCCTCCCCCAGCCGGGCCCGGAGCCCCTCCCCGCGGTGTCATGAGCCCCCCTTTCTTCTTCCCCCCGCTGGGCCCGGAGTCCCCTTCTTCCTGGCCTGGAGCCTGTCCCCCTGGCATCATGGCCCTTCCTTCTCTCTGGTCGAGAGCGCATCCCCCAGGGTCATGGCCCCAGAGCTCCACATTATCCCTCTCCCGCTGAGATCCCCTTTGCTGTAGGGGGGTGTCCCAGTGTAACATGGCACCTGATGCCACTCCAGTGCAATGCGGGTCCCAGTGTGAGGAGCCACCTGGGCCTTGTGGCACAGGGATCCCCACCCTCAAGGTGAGGCAATGCTTGGCACAGCCAGTGTTGTGGGGATAAAGCCCCCTTATTGGGTGGGATCAGCAACCTCCTGAAGTTCTTTCTGGCTCTGTGTGTCTGTGCGTCTAATTCAATCCGCAGTCCTCACTGTTTCAACCTGCTGGGCTCAGAAGTGTCAGGGCTTGTGAGATGACAGATTCCCTTCCAGGGCTACTCAGTGAGACCTAGCAGCCTGGGAAAATAAACAGCCAGTAATGCTGTGTGGTTTGGGGACTCTGGACTCTGCTATAACAGGCTCACACCAGGGATGAATTTAGCTCCATCTCTTTGGGGAGATGAGGTTTTCTTATGCAGGTTTCACAATATAAAGGTGGAAGCAGGAGCAAATGGACTAGCTCTAGTTGTGTTTGATGGAAACTCTGTACTTGTGTATTTGCACAAATCGTAAAGCTCGGAGGTTTGTCGTTTTGTTTTAAAATACTGGATTTTTTTTTTTTAATGATCTATCTCCCTTTAGAAACCTATCCTGCTGCAAGGTCATGAGAGGTCCATTACTCAAATCAAATATAACCGTGAAGGAGACCTACTCTTTACAGTAGCCAAAGATCCTGTAAGTATTCCAGCGCCTTTGAGTTAAGTGTTTCATGTGTCTCAAACTTTTCTTTTTTGGGGGGGGGAGAGGAACTTAAACAGGATTCTAAAAACATGAAAGTTCTTGCAGCCTGTTTAATATTATGGTGAGGTGTCACAAAATCACACCTGAGATGGGGTCAGTTTTTAGTTTAACAAGTTATTATAGTGACTCTTTTGCAAGAGGCTGGGATTTGGGAGTAGCCGTGGGTTTCCATCTTTCTAACCTATCCCACAGAGAGTTCTCAGTCCTGCATGGTAGCACTATACAGTGTTTGGCTTTTACAGAGACTTTGTATAAAAATTGGTAATTAACCTGTATTTTATCATCTGTATAGTCTGAAAATCCATTTTGTCCAGGGTGTTGGATGTACCTCTCTTCTCCTATACCCGGAAACAATTATTCCCATTCCTAGAAACCTTCGATGTTTCCTGTTCAGTTCGAGATCTAGTATAAAACCATCCTGCCTCCTCTTCAGGATCCCTCACAGAATTGTTTTTCTACATCTAGCACTTCTTTGTGTTCTCAGTGTCTCCTCTGTCTTACTTGAACAGCATCTATTTCTTCCTCCTCTCCCTGTGTTCCCCCTTAGGCAATAAAATCCCACTCCCAGGACAGCCTTTCTCCCCTCTGATCCTTTTCAAATCCTACTTCCAGACCCATGTAGAGCGCCATCTCTGCCTGGCTTTCAACTTCTATTCTGTCTAGCTGCATTTATAAAGTACCTGTTGCCATACTATCTAGACATAGCAGCTCTTAACACAAAAGGTGCACCATACTCCTGGTGTATCCATGCTCTACATAATTTAACCTCTCCACCCTTTAACGTTCCTGTCCTACTACCTCTAGTGATGTTGCCCATTAGCTATATTCTACCGCATGTGCTCCTGTTCGTATGTGCAGTGATATAGACTTGAGATACTCCAAGATGAGACCATATGGAAATAAATTGCATTCATTTATTTAGCAACTTGATCTAAAGTGGATGCTTGACTAATTGTTTTGCTTTCCCAGATTGTCAATGTCTGGTACTCAATCAACGGAGAGAGGCTTGGCACTTACACTGGCCACACTGGAGCTGTCTGGTGTGTGGATGCAGATTGTATCCTTTGGTGACTGAAACCTGTCTGTCTGCTTGTTTATGATGATTCTTCTCATGTGTGAAGTGGGGTGTTTTTATTGTGGACACTAGGTGGCAGGCACGACAATGAGTGATTTTATTGCTGGTATCCTGGTCTTTCCATTACTCTCCACTGGCTTCTCCTTTCTCCCCCCCCCCATTTGAAATAGTACATAAACTGTAGGCCATTGTGTTCCACCCTCACGTATTCAGACATCACTTTTTACTGACCTACTGTGCTCCGGTTCACAGGGCTCTGGAGTTCTTAGAAGATGCCTGAATTTCAAAGTGACCTTCTGTCTCCAATGCAGATAGGTGATAAAATAGTTACATTAATGCGGGTTTCTTGCATTTAAGAGTTGAACTCCTTAATGCCCCAGAGCAGGAAATTCAAAGTTATGGTTCCCTCTGTGTATGTGCCTGGACATAGTATGTTGGAATGAAAGTTATTTCATCTGCATGATTTTTTTTCTGATTCTAGATAAATACTGTAGCTACTGCATATTTTGTGTATTTATGTATCCTATGGCAAAACGTGGATATTGGCCTTTTGGGGTGATGGGGTGTGAGAATTTGTTGGCATTCCCTAACTGATGATGCAGGGGACACAAGACACGTGCTTACTGGCTCTGCAGACAACTCCTGCCGGCTCTGGGACTGCGAAACAGGTAAGACAAGAATATTGGGGTGAGAGGGAGTGTTTAACTATTCTCTAATGAGAGAGTTTTATCTATGAAATCTATTTGCCTTGAGATGTGTGGCAGGGAAATAAGGTAGGATTCTAGTTCTACTTTAGGACCAGTGGTGAAGATGGGTTTGGTCTCATTCTGACCCTTACCAACTAATGAATATTCTTTTGTAACTCCCTCACTATCCAAACTGGCAGGAAGTAACGGTGTCTGCCCTGAAAAGGCCAGGGACTGCTGGTGCAGGTTAGGATTGAGGTGCATTGGCAGAGTGGCGTGTGGGTAGCTTGTGCAGAATAATTTGCTTTATCTCTGGCCAGTATCCTAACTTTCATGAGTGCCTAATTCATCCAGAATTTTAAAGAAAACCATCTATGTGCACATATGGGTTTCCCGGTCTTGTAAATCATATTTCAATGGATGAACTGGTGTCATCCTGTGAGTAGGAAAGGTGTCCGGCAGGAGGTCCACAGAAAGACAGAATGCTTCTTTGACCTATAGCATTGAGACTCACTTGTCACAGCTCAGAACAGAACTTGCTGGCCTAGCTAAATACTCAGTGGAAAGATGAGCAATGAGAATAGAGAGATATGTGCGTTAAGTGGTTGACAGATTGATCATAGCTGATGGCAAGACCCAGGCTGAGTTTCCGGTCTTTGCTTAGCGAAATGTATGTGATGAAATGGATGGTGTTCGCTAATCTTATGACTTGTAAAATCTGGGGAGGATTTTTCACAAGCACTTCGGAAAATTAAGAAATGCTTTGTACGGACTCTAGCCCCCTCTTGCTCTGAGCATTGCATACTGGCTAGCTCAGCGCTGCGATTCCCCCTGCAGAAGGGAGGGGTGACGGTAAGGGATGAGGATGTCCGGTGCAATCTTAACAGGTTCTCTCCTGCGTCTAGGAAAGCAGCTTGCGCTGGTGAAGACTAACTCAGCTGTGCGAACCTGCGGCTTTGACTTTGGAGGAAACATCATCATGTTCTCCACAGATAAGCAGATGGGGTATCAGTGTTTTGTTAGCTTCTTCGACCTTCGTGACCCCAGCCAGATTGGTAAGGAATTCAGGCAAATACCTGCATGGAAGATGGGGGACTGTGGGAAAACTTGGATCACCTGCAAGTCAGAGTCATTTGTCTAACTCATCCCTTCCTCTCCGCAGAAAGCGACGAGCCTTACATGAAAATCCCATGCAATGAGTCTAAAATCACTAGCGCTGTGTGGGGCCCTCTCGGTGAATTCATCATCGCGGGACACGAGAATGGGGAGCTGAACCAGTTCAGTGCCAAGGTTATTGTCATGAGGAGCAGTGTGCTCCTCCTCTTTAATTGAGGACAGAGGGGGTGGGTGCCACAAGATACCCGTAGCAGCCACAGGGAGGAGTGTTGAGCCAGAAGTCAAACCAGCAGCTGCTTGGTGTAGCCAGAAGGCTGCCAGCTGAAGTACACAGCTATGGAGGGCTGGTCTAAACTACTGCTTAAGTTGATGTAACTCACATTGCTCAGGGGTGTGAAAAAGATGTAGTGCTCTAGTGTAGACTTGCCCTGAGTGTCAGTTTGGGCTGCAGTCCGGACATGGATGAGACCACCATTGCAGAGTGGTGGTTTAGAGCCATAGAGTTTAAGGCCAGAAAGGACCACCATATAATTCACTGGGGATGCTAGGTGTAACTGGGACCTCTGTGCATGAGGGATGGTTTGCACCTCTCTCAGCAATGGCTCGGTACCATTAATTCTGTCTTGTGTTTATGCCCCAGTCAGGGGAGGTCCTTGTGAATGTCAAGGAGCACACCAAGCAGATCAATGACATCCAGACCTCCAGGGACATGACCATGTTTATCACCGCCTCCAAGGACAACTCGGCCAAGGTGAGACCTCCCTTCCCTACCTCAG